ATTAAAAATATAATATAATTAATATATTTTAATAAATTTATAATAATAATTTTATTTTATTAATAAAAATATATTTACGTTAATAATTTATAAAATATATAATAAATATATTAAAATAAAAATAATATAAACTTTATTTATAAAATATTTTTAAAAAATTTTTATTATAATATAATTACTGTAATTATTAAAAATTAATAATTATTATTATTAATAATTTAATAATTTTATTTTTTTTAAAAAATTTTTATAAAACCATTTAAATATAATATTATTATTAATTTAATTATTAAAAAACGTAATAAATTTTTAATTTTTAAATTTAACGTTTTTATTGTTAAAAAATTATTATTATTATATATATTTATTTATATATATAATAAAGAAATTTAAAAATTAACCGTTATTATTAACACATTTAATAATTAACGTTTAGATTTTATTATTATAATCTTTAATTATAATACATTTTTTATAAACCTCGTTAATAATTATTCCATTATTCTTAACCTTTTTTATAATCTTTATTTTATTAACGTTATATATATACTTAATTAAAATATTAATGGTTGTGTGACATTGACATAAGGGGACCTTATTGATGATAAGGTGCCCTTATCGCCGATAAGGAAGGAAGAAACAAAATACCCGACTTTATTAGATAAAGGGGTTAAGTATCTACTATTATTGGAATATAAAAATGCAATGCACTTAATTAGCCTCAGATAGATTCTTCTTTCTTTAAATATCTTAATATACCAATCTTAACACCATTAATTTACTTGTTATTACTTTATCGTTATTATTGTTATTTTTATTACGTACGTACCTACCAACAAATATTTTTAATTTTAAAAATCTTAAATCAATTAAAAAAAATATTAATATTATTAATTATAATCTTGTTAATTTATTTATAATTAATCAAATAAACCTTAATTAATTTAATATTAAAATAATAAAATAAAAATTATATATATTAATATTTACTAAAAATATTAAACCAATAATTATAAGTTAATAATTTTCTCGCAATATTTTTAAATTAATATAAAAAAACGCATAACTAATATAACTTAACGTAATAATTTAATTAATTAATTTTTTTTCTTAATATTTTAATAATTTTTAATATTTTTTTAAATAATTATTTTATATTTTACAATTTAATATTTAATTCATAAAATAATATCGTAATATAAAATATTTTTTAAACGTTTACCGCAAAAATACGTTATCGAAAACATCGTTTATCACCGTAACATAACGTAATTAAATTAAAAAAATAAATATTTTAAAATTATAAAAAAATAAAGATTTAAATAATAAATTTTATTTTTTAATTAACTAAAAACTAATAAAATTATATAATAATTCATATATAAACCTTATCGTAAACGCGTCGCGTTTTTAAGGTAGCCTCTATTAAAATAGCCTTTGTAAAAGTGCTTTAACTTACCTATGATATTTTACCAATTTAATGATATATCTAACCCAGGTAGGCATGCAAATTCAAAAAAAAAAAAAAAAAAAAAAAAGCCATAATTTCTGGCATTATTGAGGTCTGGAAGCGGTAATAAAATATCAAGAGAAAATATAACTACCTGATTGGTAGACCTTTGTATGACTGATCTGAATGAACTTGATTGAGAGAGGTTCTTCTAACAGACGATAAGAACTACCCATACTAGGCTAATTACCTCTAATATATGTACCTAGGTACTTAGCTTACCATAACCCCGTCCGGAGTCATAGTGAGTGGAAACTTGAAGTTATATTAAGCAAAGAAGACAAAATCTTCTTTATCTATGAGAAGTATGGTTAAGCTAAGCTAATCCTTATCATTGTGATCCCATCACTACCCCCCTTCGCGAAAGAATTGATGATGTCCACATCATCCTACATCATCGTTAGAAACCATTGCAATATAAAAGTCATTATCATATCGAGGCCTTCATTCGCCTCCTGGTGTTCGTACTAACATATTCGCTTTCTTCTTTAGTGTTTGTATGGGTGATGCCGTAGGTAAGTTTATACTTGATAGGTACTATTCACCATCGTCTCAGTTATTATAGAGTTTGACCTTAAAGATGGCATATTGTCCTGCCCATCGCTGCACAAGAGCAATGGCTCGAACGAAGCCCACCCGGCGTGTAGAAAATATTCCGTAGTATTTGTCGACTCATAAGGGATTATTTTATTTGGCATTGATGAGCTCCACACAGCAGGTTAATGATCGGTCTTTTGCCATGTGAAGGCTAGAAGAGCGCTTTCCTGAATATAGCTTGGATAGTAAAGCTAACCCTCTCCCGGTGTTACTCCGGATCATCGCGTTTTTCTCGATTAGACTAGTAGATGCGGCCCCTAGCCATCGCCTGCATGTCTGTTGCGCTTAGACGTGTCTCAATAGTAGGGTGCAAGGAGAATCCGTGGTGGAGTGGTATATCCCTGAACAGACCCCAGAGTCTTAGGATTGTCGCGTAGAGGGGAGTGAGTCTACTCATTCCGAGATAGAAGCGAGATAGCCACCGACGTATTTTTTCGAGACAACCATGATATAGATAAAATAGAATAGAATAAAACTGGTGAGCTATCTTTAATGATGAATAGTGTAGTCGTTATGATTGACCTGCATAACTACCTCGTATAGATAGTATAGTTATAACTATAAGTTCACCAACATGCAGAAGTAATCAGACTGTTATGAGGCCATTAGTCAGGATGATAAAATAGTTAACGAAGGGGTGGCATAGTACCTTGTGATATACTGGCCGTAACTGTTTACCCTCCCCCTGAGCGTTGTTAGTTGTTGGGCACGTCCGGAGGAGGGGCGCCTGTCTATATCCATCAAATCTTTGAGATGCCACCTATCTATGAATAAAATGTTAGAAAAATAATACTGAAGAGGGCAATTCACCTGATTTTAGGTTATAGGGAGTTGTATGCCAATTGACGAATGGTGTTAAAGAACATACCTTATTAGACTAGGCTGTAATGTTGCGCTTAAAAGGGAGGGTTACCTCTATAGCCCCTATGCTTATCAGTATTGAGAAATGTTAGTTTGGAGGTGTAGAAGAAGCAATACCTTGTTTAGCTTTTGTTATAATACATACGACGTGTTGTAGTATGAAGCTTAGAATAGTAACACACCCACCCCCTATTATCATCCGTGTGTCGCCTCAGGGGGCCTCAGAGGGGTAGCCTCGAGAATAAAGAACATGTTCAGTTCCATCTCATAACACAGTGTTGATGATGTTATTTGGTGAAACTGCTATGACAGTTCGATAAAAAGCAAATGAAGAGGTTATGTACCTTTGACGGGATCCCGTGCAAAGGCGCATCTGATGGATTAGGCTTCTAAGTAGTTGTCGATGATAATTGTTTGGTGAAAGGGGCATGTACATCCTTGTAGTTGTTCATCTTGCTGTATTTTAGGTAGTATTAGATGTTATTGTGTTAGGATCAGTATTTAGTTTAAGGATATGAGAGGATGTAAAATTAAATATGTTAATAGTTAAAGATAGTCGAAAGGAAAAAGGAATTCTCGGGGAAGAGGCCCTGTTTAAATAAACATTTTGAAAGATGTTTTTGCCAGACGCTAAGTTGGCGGTAAGTCATGAGCCGAAGTTATGTTTGGCAGCTGCTACGTAAAGGAAGCTGCGTAGGTAGATGCTTCGGTGACAGTTGTGTGTACCTTCCCGGCATGGCAGGATCATTAGAGATTTATCACCCAGTCCACATGATCGAGACGATAAATTAGTCCAGTGCAAGGAAGTTACGAGGCAACTCAAAGTGTAGTACACTTGGAAGTTGGTGTACAATTGTTGTATTATGTTACTGCATTTCACTATTAGCGCCTTCCCAATATTAATATCTGTCAAAACTTCCAGTCTTTCAGCACTTCCCTTTTCTTTTTTATTTCTACGCAAGTGAAAGGGGTACTACGTCTAAGAGGTACGATATTACATCCCAATAGGTATTGGCGATTAACCAAATTAACATCTCTATGCCAATTACTGTATTTTGCTGTTATTCTAGTACTTTACCTATCACTGCATAAAATCTTCGCCTAAGAGACCTTTTACCGAACAATCATCATTCATCCGGGATTTAGGTTCCTACCTAAGTAAACAACAGTCCTCACGTATGCCTTAGTTTCCTTCATCCAATATCATCTCATGTATGTTAATTCTCTTTTAAGGGGAATGCTAATAATTCCTATTGCTCTCAGAATGATATCCCAAAAACAAGCCGAAGACTTTAACCAGTCAATCGTACAAATATTATGCGCTTTCTCGGAAAGGGACTAGAAACTCCTAGAAGAACTGGAAGAGATTCCGAGAAGAGTTACCATGATCGAGGGTAGTAACCTGGGGCACTACTTGGTTCTTTTACGAGAAGTATTCAATGTGCTATCTAAAAATGTCCCTGAGATGCGGGGTGATGTTCTTACCCAAACCTACCAAGAAATCCCGGAAGGAAGAGATATAATTAAGTCCGAAACTGTAGAGCAACTGAGAAACTGCTTGCTCAATGCACATCAATATCCAAAAGCGTCGGGACACAAGGAGACACCCCCGGTCCCGCCCAAGAAGAATAGCAAGCCTAGGCTTGAGATTGAAGATATAGGTGAAGGCGCTACTCGTCGCTGCAGTACCGTTGAGAACGAAATTATAGAAACATTTATTCTTCTTTTCATGGCTCTTGGAAGATCTCCACCTGCGACACCTCTTCGATCACACCTACGCACAAGAGCGGTTCGCACTTCCCAAGGCTCCTCTTCCCAGCGCCCAAAGAAAACTCCCCCATCCGGTCCACGCAAGCCACCTAATGGCAAGGAAATGATGCCACAAGAGCAAAGTACAAAAGCTCCTTAGATGTGCAATGGTATATGGCTTGGGAGATTTTCACATTGAAAGACACTGCAGCAGAGATTGACTCTGAGCGTTTTGGTTTGTATGTTCACAGCAGGTTATTATATACTGAAAATGGAGCCCTTAACAACAGTGTAAAGGGTTCGAATACGTCTTTTAAGTCAGCAATAGTCTCCCAAAGCGGATAGTCAATCAAATTAATATGCTCTTTGTCACACTACCTATGCTTGCTCCTAGTCAATAAATAATCATTTTACTACCTTAGGATTATATTTTAACTCTTTAATAATGGTTAACTGGAAAACCACAAGACCCCTACCAGATAGCCTCATAAGTCCCATAGTGTTAAGAAACTCGTTGGGATTTCTAGAGTCTACCTAGATCTGTATGGATTTGAATACCCTCTGATACGTTAATATCAAAATTTCTGGGCTATACCCTCACCAGGTACATCGCAAGAGAACCATGGCATAGGGATATAATACTTTTTCGGTGTTACCTTGGTGGCAGTCTTGCCTCGTAGTTAATTTTGGCCATGTCTCTACCTCTCCGGACGAGCCCCTATTTGTTTATCCAGTATTACGTAATCATGTTAAGCAAATTGAGTACTAACTATCCCCAAACATTTTACGCGATAGTTCCTTAAGCTTCTACTCATGTTTTCGTGATAGTAATTGGACGACCTATTTTGATGTTTTACGCAAGTACTGGGCACCATACAAGGTTGGCTTCCCCTGAGATAATATCCTAAGCTCTCTAATTAAATATTACTAAAAAAGGAATTATGCATTATGCATATTACACTATACAGTCATATTCAAGTATCCAGCTCCGAATGAAGTCTACCGGGGTTTATCCGAATAGGTACCTACCTAAGCAAGCAAACGTCGTTTCATCGCGGCCTCTTATTATTGTGACGTAAGTTCTTTTCCCCCAAACATGGATCAATCAATGCAAAGAAATTCCTCTACGGGGCATACGAGGAATAAGTCAGGAGCGAGGCGTGAGTAAACCTTTGGTTATATCCAGCTCTTTAATTCCGAATCGAAATTAGACAATCCCTAGAATTAATGCATTTGGGGATTGCAAAGGAGATTACAAAGGATGATAGGCTATTATCCCACCTGCGATTCCTCTCGTCAGCTCGTAACGGGCGTAAAGGACGTAAAGGGCGTAAAGGGGGGAGGTAGCAACATTGATTGACTGCAAGTGCGTCTATCCTGTAGGAATACGTTGACCCCACGCTACATCGATGTCCCCTTCTATCATCATCTCATCATCTCATCATCTCATTATCACATTTTCAACTTATGTCTTCAATAACAAGATCTATGTTAAAGCAAACATGTCTTTTGCTAACATATTTCAATCCATAGCTTCTCGTCCTAGATCATCAACCAAGGGGCCGCTCGATACGGATGAGTAAGCATCGGTGATCATTAACGGTTACATGATATCTGATATCTGCTTACACTGAGACCCTAGACCTGCCGTAGCGTCTCCTATCCCGTCTCAGGCCAGCCGCTTCAGTAACAGCCAACAGGCTAGTCCGCGAAGCCTTTCCCGGGGGGTTTCTCCGGCTTCTAGGTCTCCGGCCCCGTCTATCGCGCCGGTGACATCCAAGGACTTCTCGTTCCTTCTAAGGCCCGAGATTTACCACCAGCTCTCACCCTTATCCATCCCAGCCCCCTTTCGCCATCCTTCTAGACAGCCCGCGCCAGAAACAGCCATCCCGGAACTCCTTAACAATGGACACTTCCGCGCGGCCGCCATCGCTGCCGTCCAAGCACTAACAAGCAGTCCCGTCTCCATTGTCGCTGCAGCCGCGCATCCGCCCGTAAACCCCACCGACCACGCGCGCATCTTCGAGCTGCTGTACACGCGACTGGCGTGCCTGTGCCTCATCGACGCCACGTCGTTTGCCGCCCAAGAGTCCAAGGCTCTCGAAGACCTTAACTCGGCCTTCTACCTGGATCCTCTGTCCGGCGCGCACCTGGTGCCGTGGGAACTGCGCATCCTCGGCGTGCGCTTGCAGGCCATTGGTTTCGGTGATCCCCGACGTGCTGTCATGAGTTACTATGAATTAGCAAGGGAGGCACGTATGCAAATTGCCAAGTCGGGAAAGGCGCATGATCATTCTGTTTCCGAGCTTTGGAAGCATCGGCTTGCGGAGCTCGGGGTTAAGGTCGCTGGCGCGCTGATCGAGATGGATGATCCAGCGGGTGCGGCGGAGCACCTTGCTACGTTGGGAGACGGAAACCAACACTTTAAAGCGGGTGGTGATGGACGGCTGGCTATGAGCCAGGCTTTATTGTGGTTACACCTGGGTGATGTTGAAGCAGCGCGGCGATGTGTAAGAGATGGTAAGAGTGGGGAAATGGGGGAGCGTGTTGTGGATGTGCTAGCTGACATGGCGGACGGCGAGTATAAAGTTGCGCTAGAGAAGTGGCAAGTACTGAAGGGCATAATGGAGGAGAACGACGTACATGACGAGATGGTCGGAGTTAACCTTGCCGTTTGTCAGCTTTACACGGGAAACATGACCGAGGTAAGTTCCTAATAGGTGCAATGCTGCCTCGCTGCTAACGATTATCTAGGCAAGGGATACATTGGAAGGTCTGGTGGATGCGGGTTCGACATCTCACACATTGCTATTCAACCTAACGACGATGTATGAGCTCTGTACCGACAGGCATAAGAATCTTAAACTTAGACTCGCAGAGCGTGTTGCTTCCAAACAGCCCACGCCACTAGGATGGGAGAAGACGAACGCGGATTTTAAGCTATAGAACCAGTACGGAACTATGTCCTAATTAACTCGGGTTAGCTGTTATGCTTTTGGGGGGTTGGGTCGTCGGTTTACATTTAAGCATGGTAGGTAGACTGAAGTATAATAAATCAATTATCTATGTTCTATCTTCTCGGTTGGGGGTTGTTTCGCGTCGCGAGCACCTTCTAAGGCTTTTCTGATATTTATGGTTGTAAGTCTAGAGACCTATTCAATACGACACACCCCTATCTCCTGAACCTTTACACACTCGTCTAGATGTCCACATATTTCCGCAGCTAAGTTACCTTCCCATACCCTTGTGAGATATTTGTGTGTTAGTCTTGAGTAACACATACTTCGTCTAGCCATAAGATGGTCTCCAATCTCGCCACGGTACTTTGTCTACTATTCCAGACCTCTTAAGACGTATGCTTAGCTCCCTTTTCTGCAAGTCGCTCAGCATACTTTTTCTGGCTTTCCTCCCAAGCAGCTTCACCAATCCGTCTCCAGTTATCTACGACGAATTCCCTAACTAGATCCTCCTTATAAAACCCATCAGGGTCGCGTAGCGGTAATGGCGGGTGTATGCCTAGACTGTAGTCGTCTTGCATGACGATTTTCTTCAGAGAGCTAGCTGCCAAGCTACGCAGGTGTCTTCTGTTATGCTCCTCTTCGCCTTCTTGCCACTCCGGTATAGACGCCTTGATAACTCTCTGCCAAAGCGTCTGTCGCTGCTGCTCTTTGCGCCACTCGAGGAGTCGGTTTTTATAGACTTGTCGCGTGCCGGGGAACTGCGCGAAGGCATCCTCACGCACTGTGTCCCGGGTTGAAATGGGCGTGGTAAAGCGTCCCGCTTTACGGCATGCGGGAATGAACTCATCATACCACTTTCGAAAGGTCGCACGCCCTTTCATGCGGCGACGGTCGTTAGCCTTCATCTTGCTCCTGTCAAAGTCGCCCCCGTCGGCCTCCGTCGCGCTACCATCTTGCTTGGGCCGCACCCAGAACAACCGGCACGTGGCCGCATACTCCATAAGGTCCTCCATCGACGCAAATGGCTGCTCCCATTGGGTGCTGTCGTACTTAAGGCCTAGAAAACTAAGAATCTCTATGGGATCGCTACTGAGGAGGACTTTCGATTGCCTTTTGTTTAAATTTTCGATCTCGGGGATGCGTATGTATAAGCCGACCTCGTCAGCTGTGAGGCCGTACGGGCGAATGGTGCTCCCGAGGATATTCCAAAGGTCACCATGGGCGTACTTCACTAGCATCCATTGTAGGTGCTCTACGGAGTTGCATAGATGGAGGTCAACTTGGATATAGCGAGGTTCATCACCTTTCGTTCCCTCGTAAGGTAGGTCATTCGGCCACGGGATAGCTAAGTTAACAGCGTTTGGTTGCTCCCCAATAGAATGTTCGGCGCCGAGAAGGAAATAAGCAGCCTTGAGGGAATCGCGAGTCGATGGTGGAAGTGAGGTGCTGTCAGGCCCAGAAGACGGAAATGAAATATTCTTTTCTACCGCTACGAAGATATCGATATCGCCGTGGTCCTTCTTTTCGGGGCCTTCGATAGGAGTGGCGACTACGAAGAAGAGTTCTCGAAGCTTGGCATGGCATGTACTGAGAACATGTTGATATACTTTGGGAGACATCCGTGGAGTGAAAAGCGGATTGCTTCCCGATGAAAATGCGGAGCCGCCCATGATAGCAGGTATTTTATTAGTCGTGATTAAGAACTTGTTATTGGGGGAGTAGCTCTCCGGTTGTAATGCGGCAACTATAACTCGAAATACTAGGACTTATATGAGGAGAAGGAACAAATTGATATCAAGAGGGGGTGGCTAAGTTGGAATACCTCAACTCTAGATTCATGGTTGAAATGGCTGATGTAGAAGTCGTGGTAGACGAAACGGCTATAAGCATGGTTCAAATAGTAAGAGCAATGATGTATGTGAATAACGTCTGACTGGAGTTTAGAGGTATGCGAAATAAATTAATGAGTCGCATCTGAGTTGCAAACAGCACACATTGCCTACCTCTTGCATATTGAAATGAACATGTCATGAACGCACGGACCACAATTATATAGATGATTTATGATTTATCAGTTGCGACCGGGCAATCGTGATATGGCGTGTGATCTGAGGCCTTCATTCTTATATAATAATCTCATAGCTTCGTTGGATATTAATTTGGTCCTGATATAGGTACTGATTTGTGGTTGACGCATAGGAGCCAAAGTCTCTATGGTCACTCCGATGACTCAAAGGCGTGAGTCAAAGGAGGCTATGTTGTAATAGTTTGACATAGCTTTTGCAAATCTCATCCAATCTGGCACACCAGATGGATTACAGACATCAAGATTGAAGTTGTAATAGCTTCCTTGTATATACCAAGACGGGGTAGCTCATTCGTCTCTAGTATACTTAGAGCCCTGTCGCCATTTAGACCCATACCTCAGAACCAATACCGGGATCGGCGCGAGAAGGAAGCTTGCCGCTCCTAGGATTGACAAGCCTATCCCATACCCAAATCTATCAATGAGAGGCGCAGCAGCTAATGGTAGGAATGTGCCTGCTAAGCACCTTGTGACAATCACCGCGGTCATGGCAGAGGCGGCGTACAACCCAAAAGCGTCTACAACATAGGCATAAAGCGGAAGGAATCCTAGCATGAGAGTAACGCCCATAATTGCGACCGAGAGGAGTAGCAATATAATTGGAGCGTGTAATTGCGCACTCCATCCGTACCATACGGCGACTAGAGGTAAGGTAAACCCTCCGACGATAACCAAGGGCAGACGGTACTCCGGTTGACCAACCCCTTTATGGGAGTCACGGAGTTTGATATAGATGCTGTCTAAAGTTCGGTTGCATATTACCACGCTTAAAGCTGAACCAATACCTGCACGTATGTTAACATAGCGTACTTTGGACAAGAGAGATACTTCTAGGGACAAGAAAACAACTTACTGAAACTGATAAGCGCGGATCCAGCACCCGCAGGCGACAAACCGTATATGGTGCCAAGGATGTCCGGGAGAGTAGTGACTAAGATGTAAAAGTATGTGAAAGTAATAGAACCATACAGCGATAGCATCTGCAAGACGCCTGAGCCCGCTAACACCGTAAAGGGGCGGATGATTGCACCCCACAACTTCTCGGATCTTGAGCCGTCATCCGCGTCAAACACAGTTCTTAAAGCTGTGTTGCCAGTCTCAAGCCGGAGTCTCGCTGCCTTTCGTCTTAAAATAGCGACTTTATATGTTTCACGGAAACACGTAAGAAAGACTACTTCGCATGTAGCAGCCAATATCACGCACATCCACATTGTGCTCCGCCAACCCATGGTTTCGGCGATAGCCCCGCTGATAGCAGGCCCGACTGCTCCGCCGATTAGCGGTGCAAGTTGGATCAAGCTCATGGCCGAGCCTCTCTGCTCCGATATGAATATATCGCCAACGATGGCGGGGTTTAGCACATTTGATGCCACGGCGAGGCCTGTTAAAGTCCTTGCGACAATGAACAGCGTCGTGCTCTGGGATAACGCTGCCAGAACCGTCGCCGTAATGAACAGAACATTGGCAGCGTTCATGACAGGGTACCGACCAAAGACTTCTGATAACGGCGCGATAAGCAAGGGTCCAGCAGCTTCACCAAGCTCCCAAATCGTTACCAGCAACACGCTAGCAGATTTGCTAGAGTGGCCATGGTCAAGATCGTCCACTATGCGCGTTGCGACAGGCACGACGGATATACATGTAAATGTTCTATCGCGATAGTTAGTTTTTTCTTTCTTTCTTTTTGTGAGAGTTTTGGTAGATCAACTGGCAATACGTACACTGTAAAAGCCATCAAAGCCAAAAGGGAGACAATCGCCCACTTGTACGCCTGTGGCCATTCAAGGGGATTCTCCTCGTCTCCGTCGGGATGAAAGTCCACAATGTCCTTAATCGATGCTTGATCTGGACTCTCGTTAAATACCAGATGCGCATCCTGCAGTAAAGGCTGGGTTTCATCCATGGTGAATGCAACTCTTTACAGCCGGTCGTGGTGGTCTGTGAGAGTTCAAGTTGAGAAAAGGGGGAGTTTGAGAAAAATGCAATACAGGTAGTATATGAGTTTCGGTGAGCGACGGACCGTTCCGTAATAACATGTATAATGCATTATCCACTACGCGCCCTTTCGGTTGACGACATCAGACAAGGTTAATTGCGAAAGTGGAGTAATGCATGTATCCGTCTTGTTAAACGTGCGTAACACCTCTGCACCTCTATCTTAATTATTTTTAATTATTTTAACAAGGATCCCCCGAAGCGTTGAACATGATTTGGGGTTTTAACGACTTGCGACTTCATCTTCTCTCTGGAAAACTCCTAATAGTATGATATGATAAAAACACGTTTACAATCCTATTTAGATACCTATATAGTTCATCCGAAGGCCATTAATATAAGAGAACATAGAACTTACGCAAGACCACCCCATGAAATCATAGTCCACCAGTAATATATTGAGTCGAGCCCAGGACGAGTAATACACAAACTTAGCTGTAGCATCATGCCTAAGGAGATAGAAGCGGTAGATATGTCAAGGCAGGCGTGTGTGGTCAAACTGATCTCGGGTGAATTTCCGCAGTCCATATCGACTACTTGCATCAGTGCCCAGAATAGCTCAGCGCCGGCCTGATATTGGTTAATCTCTAGTCCTATATATAAGTTTATATGCGACATACGGTGGCGAAGCTGTAGTCAAGATCTGGATAATGCAGCGTGGACGATAAAAGCAATACTAATAGTAACAGTAATAGGCGGATGAGTCTTAAAGGCCTAGCACGAATGCTGCACTGACGTTGGATATTAGCCATTTCTGATAGATTTGGATTTGTACTTGAACAGAAGTATTAGGGGGTTCCGTGGTATTCTCAAGCTCTAAAGGGGCGGCTACGGTCTTACATGCCTAATCCTACGATATCTCGATAGATATATGCTAGGACCTGGAGTCGCACATGGCTACACTTCAGGAATAGGCTTATAACTAACGGGATCATTGGTTATTTTAGAATCATGTATCAGTACCGAAACTTAAATCAGTAAGTTACCTAAATGTTGCCTTGAATACAGGGAATGATTCCTCATGGTGAACTAGTGGGTGCCACATATATGAAAGCCCCCAAGTACTCGTACCGTGTGAAGTCATGCTAGCCACCAGTATTATATGTAGTTATTCTTCCCATCTCTTATCTTTCATTTATATTTACACAAGGATGCTCGCATAAAGTATAAGCATGTTCGGAAATTCCCTAACAACCTCAATACCCAGTCACCTTACATCCCGATACTCCTGTCTTTTACCTGAGCTCCCTAATAGATAAATGAGTAACACGATGAAATCACCGCCTTCGCCTATCTCAATCCCAAAAGAAGAATGGAGGCGCACTGGACTTATGAGCCTTATCTGTACATGTTGTTGCGGGATCCTACTCCTTGTCTATCTTGTAGTAATGATGACACAGCGAGGGTCTTCACTTAATTCAACCACTGTTATCATTGATGGCGATTGCCAAAAAGCTCACAGAGTTAATTTGGCCCTTAATTCCCTTATAAGAATTATATCTACTCTTATTCTCGCATCGTTGCGATTCTTTATGCAGATATTAAGCTCTCCGTCACGTTTAGAAGTCAACTGCGCCCATCTACAACTTCGATCGCTAGAAATAGCGATCTCATCGATGAACAATATTCGTTTCATTTCTAGATATAAAGCTATCGGCTGGGCTATTCTTTTTATTAGTTCAACCCTTATACATCTACCTTTCGACAACTCAATTTTCGAGACTCATTTCCAAAACTCTGACTAGCGTCTGACCGTAGCATCAGGTTCTTTTAGCATTCAAGAAGTTGCTTTCTTTCCACCCGGAGCTAGCTTGACAAATGCCGGAACTGAAAGTATCGCTTGGAACAGCTCCATTAGAGAAGGCTCTACGTGTAAATACATGGAGGGCTACGGCGAACATGCAGCCTTAGAAGACTATTGGGATAATCAGTCTCCCATATACGATAACATCACAAAAACGGCTAGAGAATCGATATTTTGACATAACATCACATTGCATGACTGCAGAGAACAGGACGCATCTTGCAGACCGAAAAACAAATACCGGGACGTCGTTATTGTTGTTGATACTAAGGCTGATAACCCAGAAGGATGGACGCGGTCTAACGAAAAACGACTCAGGTACAACGATAGCTTCAATAGTTTTCCTGTACGGTATTGCTTAGCCGAACCGTCCCCCATATCTTCATGCCAAGTCGGGTTATCCAACACACTCCTCCTTATCACGACAAGCTGTGTTTTCTTGAAAGCACTTATATGTGCATTAGTAATTATCTACCTCCCGCATACATCATTAGTCACTCTCGGGGACGCGCTAGAATCCTTCATCTCGGACCCGGACCCAGTTACTATAGGGCTAGGCACTTTCAATATCTACGATAGCCATCGAAGTCAACTCGAGCAGCTCACAGGTGCCGAAACCGAGAGTGCGGCCAATCTTGGCGATACAGTCCAGCCCCGTCTTTGGCGTCGCGGTACTAATATACTTATATCTATCGTTCCGAGACGTGCTTGGTCTGGTACTCTAATACCAACAATCTGCTTTATGTGTATTGGAACATATTATGCAAATAACATACGTGTATTTGATAGAGTAAGTCTGTAAGTAAACCACCATCTTCTATTGTTTATGTTAGTCGCAACGAAGTGAAGATCGACCACTACTAACAGAAAATTAGCCAAGAAACTATAGGGGTGACCGAGTCACCCTTTTTCATAAACACACTTTTGAAACAGCGTGGATACTTATAGCCGAGATCGAGTTCAATTCGTACAGTCTAGCGCCACCTAAACCACTCCGGGTATCATATCCCACAAGCGACCAAGTTTCAACTTATTGGCTGCAGTTACCATATATTTATAACTTGCCTCTTCTCATTGCAAGTGCTCTATTGCATTGGCTTGCGTCTAACTCGCTTTATGTCTTTGCGAGCCAAGGAGGTAATACCTATCGTAAATTGTCATTGTGCTTAGTCCGACATACTAATTCAAGGTTAGGGTACATAGTAGACGACTATAATCAGGACTCCTGGAACCCTGGTAATAAGTGGAGTATCCTTGAAGGAACTATCATTCTGTTAGGCTTCTGGCCTCTTGGGATCCTAATATATCCACTGGCAGACCTGGTCGTGGTGATTTTTCCAATTCTATACGGCATCCGCAGGCTTCCTGGTGATATGATATTTGGGGCATGTGACTCACTCGTCCTTTCAGCAGCTTGTCACCCACACACACCATCCTCTCCATCCCTTCAGGATAGTCTTAATACGCGCAAAGGTCCAGAAAACGAGGGTATGACATCGTATTATCAATGGACTAGCTTTGCTAACCTTACTTAATAGGGAAAGAGACGAGCAAGGTTATCAAGTATGAATCGTTACGTGAACTTTCAAAGGAGAGGCTTAGATGGGGTGTAACAAGGGTACCCTCGGGACTTTCTACCGCCATGGACTCTGAGCAAAACATAATACATCTAAGCTTTACTAGTGAAGATGATTATATATCTAAGAGGTATATATGATTATTTATATGCATGAATACAAAGACACTGGAGAAATATCCGCAAGGTCTAAGTTTATTATATATCGCACAAATGGTATTTTGCCCTTAATTGCACCAATAAATATTAACAAACAAAAAGTACCTATCTTTTAAATAGGTAGGTACCTCGGTATTTAGTCAAGAAATGTTTCATGGTGATTTAAATCGTTATTTTAGTTACGCCCACAGTGTTGTGTCTCTTAACGAACATATACTACTTCAAAAGCGAGTGCAGATTCCATTGCTTAGGTAAATATACTTGACCAGGTGAGCTTAGCCTGGTCAGTCCGAATTAATCCATCTAGTACCTAGAGAGATGACACCCTTAGCCTTCGCAAGCCGACTCCCTCGAACGATACTCCTATCTAAATTCCTTATCTATAGCGACCAAGTTTCATATACTATCCTCCCAGGACTATCTTGAAGTTCACATATCAATTTCTGGCCGTAGCCTGTATAAACGGCTCTAGATCTAATATCGTTTCTTCGTCCATTAAGTCAGGGCGTGGTACAAAGAAGTGTTGGCGACGCGCACGATTTATATTGCGGGCCGGATTGAACGGGTTTATATCTATATCCCCGCGGCGCCACCTGAGCCGATTCATTTCGTCACCTGCAGGAGGCACGGGGCCGGGATTAGGGCGAGGTTCTGGAGGTTGGTTTCTGGGTCTGATGGGAAACAGGATATTTTGACGCGGCTCTCGTCGCCTAGCGATAGGAACATGTGGTCTTGGCGGCGCGTTCATAAAAGGCATGAAGGCCCTGCCTCCCTCGTAATTAGGTGGGTTATCGTAGTACCGACACTGCTGCGTGTGGTGACACTGGAGGAAATCTTGTTCGTCCTTGTAATACGGCTCGAAGCATAGCCAACACCATTCATGGCCACAAATACCTGGTAGTTTTAAGTTAGTTTGGTGTTCTAGAGTTAAGGGATTTGAGGAAATCGAAAGCTTACAGGTGACATGATCACACCCTATGTATTTGTTGATATTCCTCTTGCATCCGGGACATGGCTTGCTCATCTCCTTGATGTGCTTTTCGGACGCTTCATCATTCTCCCTTTGCTTACGTGTTCGCTTGTCGTATTCGTCGCAAGTTTCCCCCTTGTGCCACGGAACATTGTGATGGATGCAAACGTAGCCTCTGCATCCGTGACACTTCGCTTTTGAACAACCCGCCGGATGTATCTGGCCTGACTCGCATCCAGGGTTCAAACACCACATAAATTCCGGGATTTTTGTAAGCAAGGCCTTCGTAGCTAGCATATCATATTTCTCGAAGATTTCTCGGGAAGCAAAAGCTCGGACGTTCTCGAACTTGAGTAGTTGAGGACATTCCGGGCATTTCAAACGGTCCCACGTAATTCTTTCCAAACTCGAGGCTATCCAGAGGCCAACGCAAGCCTTACAAGTAGTAGCATCATGCTCACAAGCCGCCGTAATCCGTTTCCTATTCGGCATCTCGGAAACCCTCTTCTCGTCGCCGCATACGATGCATGTCTCCGACGTAGGAACTAGCCAACTCTCCGCGCGAACGAATTTATCCTCTATAGAACGGGGAACTTCAAAGTCGATAGTCGCCCCGGGACGAATGTGGTTAGTTCTCGTGACCGGTTTACCGTTATAGGTCAGTCTGATATCTTCGAAGTTGATGTGGCGCCGGCGAACTTTATTATCGGAGTAGACCGTCGACAATACCTCGTTCTTAAGCCAGTTCTTGAGTTTTAGAGTGTCTGCATAACCACGGCGATTCAGGCATGGCTTATGGCAGATGTACTGCTCGTTGAACCCTTGCAGAACGAAATAACTGTCGACTGGTTTCATACTGATAATCAGATAACGACAGAGCCATGTCATCGCCTTGCGTACTTCCCAACTATTTCCTTCCAGCAGCCTCTGTTCCAGGCCGCCTTCTGTTTCGATCGCGATTTGGTTGGCATTTTGTACTAGACCCTCCTTGGACTTATTGGTATCTCGTAGGAGGTTTGCTACAATCTCTCGAAGACTACCTACGGACTTTCCCATAGTAGCTTCACGAGCTATTGCTTCTCTCTCCGGCCTACGCAGCTTCACATTGGTCCCTCTCCACACAACTCGGAACGAGCCATCATCGCCTTCCCGTAGCACCCTATAAAATAATAGGCGCGAATCTTCAGGGATATCGCCTCCCTCCAAGCGTTTGTTATCGGAAAAGAATTGCACCTCGGCATCCTCTGGAATTTCTTGGGCCCCCTCTGGGAATCGCTTCTTCAGTGAGGCACCTACGTCGTGCAGCTGCGGGGTCTTGAAAGAAATTTTTACAGGATTCCGCTCAGTAAAGATATCGTCAAGGTCGACAAGTTCTACCCTCCTTTTCTCCTGAGAGGAATCGTGACGTTTTGAATGATGCGTGCGCCTATCGCTGCGATGCTGTGATGATTCCGCAGCGCGACTTGTAGAAGCCAATGGCCGACGTTGTGGAAACATGGTTGAGGTTGCGGGTAAACTAGGAATGGCAGTTGATCGTTGGTGACATGTAATAGTAATAGATATAGCTGCTCGATGCAATATCCATGTGGCAGAACTGGAGTGGCTAGAGCCAATACGGCCAATACGGCCAATAAAACGAAGGAAAGAATGATCGAATGGGATAATGATTTATACGCTAAGTCAACTTCATGATCTTAAATCATCATTGAATATTGAAATGAAGTCTTAGGCGAGAGTCATAGCTTGTGCAAATTGGCGACCTATGATAAAATCCTCAGGCGTCTGCGGTCTGCAGTCTGCAGTCTGCGGGGCAAAGCGCGAGCTATGTACATTCCATCGAAATAGATGTTATGTAGGTACCTTACCTTATCTCATCCGTGAATAGGTCGGGACCTAATGTTTCAGGTACCTAATACCTAATATTTAATTGGGCGACAGCTTTGAAGCTTCTACCGCTTCGTTTGGTAGGTGGTGTGGTGGTGCGGTAGTGCGGTGGCACCAAGCATTATGTGAGGCCACGTGAGACGATACAACATAACTATGAGCTGTAGCCAACTGGCATCCCTTGTGAGCTACCCTGAAAAGTTGTAGAAGAAAAGAAAATATACCGAAAAGAAAAAATAGAGAAAGAAAGAGAGAAGAGAAGAGAAGCATGTTTCAAATTATCAAGCTGGTGGTTTGTAACCATATAACCTAGAATAGAGCTAGCAAATGGCTAAGTTAGGAACATTGGGTAATGTACCTTATATGTACCTAGCTATCCTTGATATCCAATATCCCCGTTTTGTGTCTATAGGAATAAGCATCTCACTTATCTGCATGCACGGATACCTACATAGGGGGTATATTCCTCTTACTTAACCTAGGTTAGAACAAAAGTAAGGCAGATAACCACCGTGCTGCCGCGGGAGGATCGAAAAAAAGCTTATCCGTCGTGCTGAAACCAAGATGGTATGTGACTAAGAAACTAAAAGAGTCCGTGGTGAACTAAAGAAAGCACCTAATCTACTAAGCATTACGAAGTATTTATAGGTAATCTTTAGTCCTTTACAGAGACCCTCGTTTATATAACAAGAGAAATACATGTCATCCAGTTCGCATTTTCAGGACATATTCCAAGAGTGTATAACAGGTAAGCAAGGAGGCAATCCTGCTAACCTAGATACTCCGGGTCATGATTCTATATAATATCTATCTGTGCATTCAAACTTCTTACTATTCATTCATCACAGCCATGAGGAAACTAATACTCTTACACGACATGAGTGGTTCTCTCATGTTATTCAAATATAAAATGAGAGCTCCGTTGATTCGTCCGTCAACCGATCTACGAGAATAAGTTGACCTCCAGGACGCACAGCGGGCGAAAAAATCTTGATCCAATTAGGCTCCCCGCCTATCTCGTCTACTTCTTCGACGAGGTCCGCCGTGTATGTATCATAACTCGTATCGAAGCTGTAGCTCTGCAAGCCAGCAATAACCAACAACTTCAATCGTAGCCAGCGGCCCATTTCTTGCGCCCGTCTGATGACCTCGCCTTTACCAATGCACCCGCGATCAGTGTTAATTTCGTGGCTATAAATACGTAGGTCAAGGAGGACGCTCTCCAGCATCGGCATCTGTGACCACGATAGCCATATGGGTGAACCCCGATCTAAGTCGATAACCATATCAAGTGCCTCGAGGTTATCATCGCTTATCTGGACCTCGGATCCGATCATACTACGAGCGTCAACCTTCATGAGGGTCAGCGGCGAACGAAGCACAATATGACGCAGGAGCTTGAAGACATAAGGTGAGCCGCTTGGCATAACTTTTTTATCAGCTTCGGGTTCTTCGTCATCATAGGGAAGAATACCTCGCGAGCGTTTCCCTCTAATCGGAAACGTATCTCTTCGATTGCCTAGAAAGGATTCCTCGGCAATATTAGGAAGGAGACCGTCCGCAGCGAGTTCGAAAATTTGTGCGCCTTCGAGACAGAGGGTCCTGATTATCTCGTTACTACACCACTTACTAAGGGTTAAAAGACTCCTATTGGGAAATTTTATAGGGAGAAGGTTATGATCACCGTCTCCATGCCCAAGGCTGGTTAAGAGACTGCCAACTTTGCCGTCAATGCCTCGTGTGTATGTGACGACTCTTGTGAAATCCGAGGGGTTGTCTGATAGTGGGTTATATTGCTTACATGGATGCCAGTCAGGCACTAATAAATCTAGAGCGCATTGAGCTTTAGAATGCAGTGCTTCGGATAAAGCACTAGAAATTATTTCCAGAGGAAGTGAGACATTGGCTTCCGGTTTCTCCTCAGTTCTTCGTCTTTTCCTTTCTCGAGGATTATCGTCCAGGATACTGGGCTTACGCTTTCGACCCCTGAGCTCGCTGTTGAGGCCCCCAGAGCTTCTATTGTAGGGGTATACGGTCTCAGCCTTGGGCAACTCGACTAGCTTGGATGGTGAGCTTCGGGGGCATAAGTTACTCACAGAGGTCGCCGGTATTTCCTCTACATCACCGAGAAGGGTGGTATAAATATCGCGTTCGCTCTTTGCATAAATAATCGCACAGCCTCGTCCTCGCGAGCTTTCTCTTGGCGAGCCTTTTCTCCTTCTTGGATTTTTTTCTCGCGGGCTTTTTGCTCTTCGTCTAGTTGTTCGACCGTCGTCGTTTGCTCTGACCATTTCTGTCTGCATGCGGTGCAGGTGTACTGAAACCAGGCACCCGACCATATGTCTCTCTTATCGGAAGACTTTTCGTGAAACCTCGACATGCAGATTAAATGCACAGATGAGACGATTGCAGCCTGTTCTCTTAGGCGCCCACTCTCGGAGCTGGAAGATGAGTTATCGTTTCTCCGACGCGAAACCCGAAGCGTCCGTCTCACATGGGAATGATTGTCATTCGGGGACATCTTGATGGTGAAATAGAATAAATATAAACTTTCACGACTGTGGATTTGTCGTGTATTATTTGGAACTACAAGAGCATGGGAGCTTCCAAGATGCATATATATAAGCCTTTGTTTTTCACAGAACGAAGGCGCTGTTTAGGTTTGAAGTACACATGTCTCGCACAGTCACAGCCTTAGATAACAAGTTCTTAGTAAAAGCTTCGTTACATCACTTCGTTAGATCCTAGTGCGGGAACTACTTCCTCGTTCTACTTCCACACGGGGTAGTACTGTTCCAGAAAACTCTTTAAAAAGACTGATTTCTTTTCTTGGGGGGGTGCCTGCAGTTAAACCAATTCTAATTGAAGAAAGTAATTAAGAAATTCAATTATAAATGTTTACTAAAGCTCTTACTACCGTAGTTGCAGTATAGTTTCTTGACTATCTAAGGTAATTCAATCGCGGTATTTTCTCACTATCACCTCTCCATACCGCTCAGCGGCTACTAGTTAGTCTCATATGTACCACGAGTTGAAATTAATAGCTACAGCACTACCGCAATATAATGATGTTCGACACTTATAAATCTCACAGATAGACAAGCCTGAGATTCAGAAGCCATCATAACAAAAAGATTTTACCTAAGATTAAATGAAGACGAGTACTTCTGGACCATCTTGTTCTAGTCTGGCAAGTTCTCGAGAATCACCATGCCTTTAGAAACTTCATTACAGCCAAGTATGAGTACTAATATATAGTTGTTGGATTTGTTCCTCAATGATTTTGCAACTAATAGTAATAAGCTTTATATTATTCCCAACAAGGGAAGCACTATTCAAAGACTAGACAATGGTCTTCATACACGATATCATTACTGAATAAGTACTTGGGGTGGGGGCTACTTGAATATGATTCATTCAACCTTGATCTTTGGCGATATCAACTTTTCGCAGGGTAAACATACTATCCAACACCTAGACTATATCTGTTTTTGGCACTATAGGAGGAATAATTATTATGTAACATAACTGTTTTAGCTTGTCGCTCAGTAAAGAGTAGTTCCATCCGTATCCTCCTACTTAGAGACGTAAAAATTAAGATGTCTACTGGTAAATGAAATTCTCTGGGTAAATTCCGTTAATCTTTAATTATTATACTGGTACTTAATAAAGATGGCACGACTGCTTTCATCAAATATGTATATACGACATAATGATGCACCAAAATCATCGAGTTATGCCTTAGGGCGTAGTGGCCATAGTGTGCTTGAATATTTACGGGTTTCGCGTCTCTGGATGTAATTTGGTAAGTGTCAGGATTCTAGGTGAGATATCTAGAACAAAGAACATGCTCAGTATGTATAGACGCAGACTCTCGTAGTTAGGTTAGAATTCCTTGCGGAACAACGAAGTTGTTTCCATGCCGTTTGGTTCCACCTCGTGACAGTAAGAAATATGGAGTCAACTGGATTTGAACAATAAACCAATGGGAGCGGTTCCGAACCTGAATGAAATAGTGAAGCTGCTACCATGCGTTTGGTTTTCTGGTTGTGAAATACACGTGTTACAGCCCTACGCAACTAGGATGTACCGTGATAGTAGCACGACTACGTATGGGCCCTAAATGCGTAGTTGGCGTTTAGCATAAATTAGACCCTTGTTCTGGCTTATTCTATGTTAAGGATCCGTTTAAATCCGGTCTGTTGTGGATTCGCGTTCAGGTACTATGTTAAGCCGAGGGAGCTGGCGATGAAGCTATAAGATATTTAAAAGAGTCTGTTAAAAAGGCCTCGTAATGTAACTTAAGTATGATTTTTGTTAGAAAGCCAAGTTCAAGTATTCCACAAACTCATTAGGATGGACAAGGATCTTATCAACCACCTAACCTCTTAAGGCACACAGGTAAACTTGCCTCTCATTGGCTTGCTCGGACTCGAGCCTTGTTGACCCGCTGGAATGTAGCTAGCGCGATCCATCTGGTAGGGTTACTCCGCGTTTCGAGACATCAATCACAAACCTCCATTAGGTCGGTATCCACGGTACTGGTATCATATCATACAAAGAAGGGCGACTCGCATTTGGTGGATCGCTTAGGCTGGAAGTCTTAACAGAATTACCGGACGCCCATCTTTCGGCTTATTCATAGAAATGCCTCGGAAAGGGAGTCGTAAGGTCAGGACGGGCTGTCTAACCTGCAAGTAGGTTCTACTTGAGTAATCACCAACCAATTACCCAGCAGCCCTGATTAACGTCTGATAGAGCACGCAAGGTGAAGTGTGACGAAGGCAAGCCACACTGTAACCGTTGTATTACCACCGGGCGCGCGTGTAGCGGCTATGCCACTAAACCGAGCTCGGGACTGCTCTGGAATCGCCCGCGTCAGCTATTCCAGAGTATAGACAGCGCCAGTGAAGGGAGAGCCCTGCATTTCTTCTGCGAGAAGACGGCCCAGTTTTTATCAGGGGCTACTGACCCGTACTTCTGGACCCATCTAGTTATGCAGTTCAGCAATTTTGAACCAGCTGTTAGACATTCTGTCATAGCCATAAGTTCGTTGTATGAACAGTTCCAAGCCGAGGGTGAAAAGTCCCACTCAGGAGTTCAGCTGAGAGATAACAGCCTTGCGCTGCAGCATTATAACGCTGCTATTCGCGAACTAAAGACAACGAATAATCAACCTCTAGTACTATTAGTCTGCATTCTTTTCGTATGCATCGAATTTTTACAGTCTAACAAAGAGGCAGCTATCCAACATTGCAGACATGGCATTGCTCTGCTTGACAATGCCAATTACTCCTGGGCGAAAGAACACTTGTTGCCGGTGTTCAGGCGACTAAGTTCTTTCCCTTTCTTCTTTGGGGCGAGGTCTATTGACTATCCCGACCTTGTCTCCGTAGATACCCCCCTTCCAACATCCTTCGACGACTATACCGATGCGGCGTCAGCAATGGATTGTTTACAAAGTCGGGCATTACGTGTTATACGATGCGCAGATTCATACCGTATCGGGAACTTACGATACAAGCCAGTGTCGTCTGACTTGCTAGAAGAGCAGAAGGTGGTTGTAAATCTCCTAGACGAATGGCAAGTTTTATTCAAAGGCCTAGACACTAGGTCGATGTTACCGACTACACCTACAACAGAGTTGTACAATTTAGGCATAGATTTCATCAAAGCAATGTCCCGTGCGATTCTGCTAGTACGCTACGAGCTCAGTCGAATCGTGCTAGCCATAGCCTTTGAGGCCAGCGAGATGGGTTACGACCAATACTTGAGCGGTTTTCAGCGAGCACTCGATCCATGCTTACTTGTCGACTCCGTGCTTCCCGCTGGATCTCGAATGCCAACTACAAAACGCGAACCACAGTTCATCTTCGAGACAGGCTTCATAGCGTGGCTTCACCTTATTGCAACAAAATGCCGGGTCTTGAGCATGCGATTAGAAGCTTTACGCTTAATAAGAGTGCTTGGAGTTCCACGAGAAAACCTATGGGAGTTAGATCAGATATATGCGTTGGCGCGCCGGGTTATCGAGATTGAGCACGGTGTCATACTAAACGACGCCGGGCAACCTGCTACGCCGGTTCAATATCCAGGTTTACCACCAGACGAGAGGAGGGTACGATTTACCATAATGGAGCCGAGTTCGTCTATATGTGTCGATTTAAATGGAAAGGAAGCGCGTGGGTGGACAGCGGGTTTTGTTATGCGGGACAAACAGGATGCGATCGTCACCCGCAAAGAATTCATCCCTGTCCGACGCCCAGTATAGGCAACCGGGCCATCCATCCTCTTAAGCAGGGGCGATACCTTGCATGAATAACGAAGAGTCTGATTTCCCAGAGATACCCTAGTTTTAGCTTAGCCAAACATTTCGGCAGTGCCGGTTGTATGATTAGAGAATATAGGTCGCCTCAGTTAATGTAATCGCTAAAACTACGCATCGTATAAGTCGCCTTTTCTAGTTTACTCTCTGCTTTTCTGTAAAAACGACATAAAACAGACAAGCGAGAGTACACAAGCCTAAATAATACAAACCAGGATATCAAGCTATAGGCTCGGTCTTCGTTAGTTCCCTTAACTATACACAGACTTTGCATTGACACAGACGAAGTTTAATTCTCAGATTATAGCCTTGCCATCTTAGTTTCAACTCCCGCCTCTTTGCTCACACTATGAATCACCAACTTAGCCCTTTAGTCATTGCCTCGATTGTCCACAATATAAATTAGGTACTCATCCCAAACCCATCTGTACCGTACTCCTACACATCCAAATCACATCTCACGTTAACTGTTCAATCATCTTAATCATATTTATGTTTACATATTTGTCGAAATAGTATTATTTCCTCAGGTATGGTTTCTTGTCCGTCTACTTGCACACCGGATTTATCATCTTGTCAGTATATATTGATGAGCAAAACGAGAAACTAACTCGTTCAAGATAATTTCCTTAGATGTGATCCGCTCTCCATCCATTCCACCATACTTTCGACTTCTTTTAAATATATTTTTCAGTCATATCGTGAGCTGAAAATACATGTATGAACAGTTCATCTTTTTTACACGGATAACCTTGGTAGATGCATTACGACCTCCTTTCACACTGTATCATCAACATCTATTAGGCGCCACAAAAGACGCCACGATGCTTCGCCACAGAGCTCACCGTCTCTCCTTAGTCTAACGCGAATAAGTATGGCGTTATCTCCCCAGTGACGGAACAAAACAAACCATCCTCCTTTCTTCCTCTATTTTTATCCTTCTTCATCTATCGAAATAGGTTAGAAGACCTAAACACTATGGCACCAACACGTCGATGGTCTCGTACGCTTTTCCTTGCGGTGCTGGGCACTGTTACCGCATCTGAGTTTCAAATTCCTTTGGTATCGCAAAAACCGCTGGAAGCAGGAAACGCGCTTCTCAAACCGTTGGTCAACACGGAAGATCTGCAGGCCAGCATCAAGATTGAGAACCTCGTCAAGCGTGCTAAGAGTCTATACGGTCTTGCAGAGCTCTCAGAACCAGAGTATGGACACCCAACTCGGGTCATCGGAAGTGAAGGTATGTGTTGATATAAATTCACACGCATATGAATATCGCGTCTGACTCATCTTATAGGCCATAGCGCTACCTTGGAATATATATATTCTGCCTTGGGGAAACTTGATGGTTACTACACTCTTTCGAAGCAGCCGTTTCCGGCTGTCATGGGAAATGTCTACGAATCCCGTCTAGTCATCGGCCAAGATGTTCCCAAGTCTGCTTTTCCGATGTCGCTGACTCCCCCAACGACTAACAAACAGCCTGTTCACGGCGACCTTATCTTTGTAGCAAACGAAGGATGCGATGCATCTGACTATCCATCTAACGTAACTGACAATATTGCTTTTGTCCTCCGTGGCAAATGCTCCTTTGGTGCCAAATCAGAGCTCGCTGGCAAGGCGGGTGCAGTGGCAGCGATCGTGTATAACTACGCTTCTGAGCCGCTTTCGGGTACACTAGAGAGTCCCACTCCCGACCATGTTGCTACATTTGGTTTGTCAGGCGAAGACGCCGGCCCCATACTTGAGAAGTTAAACAAGGGCGAAGTCGTCGACTCTATTGCATACATCGACTCGGAGGTTAAGAAGATTGAAACCACGAACATCATTGCTCAGACTGTCGAGGGGGACCCAGACAATTGTGTCATGCTTGGGGGCCACAGTGATAGCGTGGCCGAGGGTCCAGGAATTAATGACGACGGCTCGGGTAGCCTCACACTCCTTGAAGTTGCTACACAGTTGACCAATTTTAGCGTCAACAACTGTGTACGTTTCGCTTGGTGGGCTGGAGAAGAGGAGGGTCTTCTTGGCTCAGACTACTATGTCGAGGTCTTACCCAAGGAAGAAAACCTTAAGATCCGCCTTTTTATGGATTATGACATGATGGGCAGCCCAAACTTTGCCTATCAGGTCTATAATGCGACAAATGCTGCGAATCCCGAAGGTTCAGAGCAGCTAAGAAACTTGTACGTCGATTGGTACGAGGCGCAGGGACTTAATCACACTTTTATTCCCTTCGACGGGCGTAGTGACTACGACGCTTTTATCCGTAACGGTATCCCGGGAGGAGGTATTGCCACGGGGGCCGAGGGTCACAAGACAAAGGAGGAGGAAACCATGTTCGGCGGTAAAGCAGGCGACTGGTATGATCCTTGCTACCACCAGTTATGTGACGATATTGGCAACGTTAATTCAACCGCTTGGCTTGTCAACACGAAGGTCAGTCCCCTTCCCCTCTCCAGACGCGCTATATAAGTACTACATTGCTAACCTTCCTTATAGCTCGTTGCTCACTCCGTTGCCACCTTTGCTGCCTCGTTCAAGGATTTCCCCGAGCGGTCAAACACCACCGTGTTGGAAGCCAATGAACAGCGTGCCCAATATCACGGACATCGACTTGTTCTATAAGTGTAGTTCAATCATAGAATTTCTGCCATTTAATCGCTAGAATTAGGTACTTAATCATAGATCGTCTAATGGGTGGAACCCCTAGTGCGTTTGGATATCGAATCTCATTTATGTTTTCTTAGCTGATACGGCACTTACCGCGGATACGAGTCAGAGGTGATAAACTTACATTGACATAGTGTGAAGCTACACTGATAATCGTAGACGTTGCCCGCCTAAAATGGGAACATGGAAGCATTGCACAGATCGGACTAAAGGTGTTACAATATTGTACACGTAAATAACTTCGTAATATATGTACACTGATCTGTGCGTCTAGCAAGTTTCTATATATGTCAAGTACATGTAGGTTTGATTTTTCAACGGGATACATTAGATAGATTAAACTCACGTCAACGCAGACTTCGAGACCATCCAATAGCACAAAATTCGCCATCCGAAATAACCATACGGTCTGCTGATAGAACTAAGGAAGATTCACAGGCTTCAAGGCATGATATTACGAGTAACTCAAAATACCAACGTATCACAGGAACCGCAATTCGTACGGCGTGTAAACGTGGTGCCAATTCTCTCTCTTATACTTCAGCGTGGAATATAGTCCGCTGTAGGAACAACACCGTTGTCTCACGGCGTAACTCTTACACAGGTCACCTCCCGTCAAAATCAGCAGTCCTAACAATCACGCCCGGTTTCAAAGATGAATTTGATCGAGTAACTATGAATCACTGAAACTCATGTCAATTAACCCCTCTTGCGAAGATGCTTCTGAATTGCTTCTGAAAGTGAGTAGATTCCCCACGACGCTCTTTTGAGGGTCAACACATATATAAACCTGTTGGGACCCCCATAGCTTTTGTTCTTACTTCCTCTTTGACCTCTATGTCCCCATGGCAAATCTTAAGAAATATTCATGTTCCTCTGAATGAAATGAGGATGCGTTCTATTATCTCTATCACGGCCATTAAGGCACCAACTATCTTAGTGTTTCTCGGGGTTTGCCGAGTAGCTCTGGGAACTATCACGACAGTCATCCTACCCACGGAGACGCAACCCTCGGGGACTACTGCTTCAGTTGGCCAGGCAGGCGATTTCGTATTTACCGTGATTAATTCTCACACGGCGGCTGTTTCTACACTGCACCAAGAAGGCGCTGGTAGTCCGACAGCAACTAGAGAATATAACCAGGCAAACACTATCGCGCCAGGAGATACTATTACGTTCGCGGTCCCAACAGGAGTAAGTTGAAACACAGCACGGACCTATCCTATCCTCTACTTTGCTTAGTGGCGAGCGTACTTCGGGACTACCGTCTCCAAAAAGTCATAGCAAATCATAGAGTAGGTACACTTGTCTTTCAAAGCAGAATTCTAATGTTAAATGCCCAGTGGTTTGGACGAATGGCTATGTATGAGAAAGACTTTGATGTTATAGACCGAGCCACGTTGTTAGAAGGGTCCTTCTTCATGAATTCTGGACATGCAATTATGGCGATGGATGTCAGCTATGTGTAAGAGTAATTGCTTGAAACCTTGATATTAGTCCTTCTGACCGCAGTTTAGTGATGCTTTCACCGTCCCGATGGTCTGCGAATGCGATGATCAAGTACAATTCGGCTGCAACCTCAACTTGCAAGAGATATGCCCGGTTCGTCACTATTGAGGCAATATTACCAGTTTTCTTAGCAGCTAATTCATGACCACAGAAAGATCTCCAGTTGAATGGGAAAACATGCGCGAACCCATATAGAGATGATCCCCAGCATCCACCTGGCCCCGAGAATATATTTCAGGACTGTCGAGGTATGGCCTACACATATCCTACAGATGACACTGCTACAAAGGTAGATCTCCCTGGCTGTAGTCGTAGCACTACCTGCTGCATAGGGACTGCCTGTAGGCCTCACCCTGGGCAGTTAAAGTGTCCTATGAAGGATGGCTACGCACAAGAGTGCGCTAAAGCTCCGTGATGGGATTCGGGGTTGTAGCGCTAATATATTACGGTCGCTGAGGCTTATTTATGTACTCACATATTGATAGCATACTTGAGTGTAGTGTAGTGCGAAGCTACTCGAAGCATGACGCAGCATGGGAGGAGCACGTTAATAATATATTATCTACTTGGAGCAACATCTCGTAACTCGCCTATTGAATGTACAGGTGTAAGTATACTCTCGGGTCGTCTTGGATGCTTAAATGTGTAACAGCAATCCACGCAGCTCCATATCAGGATCATAAATCTTAGGATGCTAATTCGGTTAGCAATGGCCATAATCCATATGTATATCAGACGTGGGTTAAAACTCACCATATGGCGATGGTAACTATAAAAGATAGGGAATCGGTGCCTTCCCAGGGGTATGGCGGGTCGGCAGCATTCTCATGGATATTGCTCAAAATAATCAAAAAGATTGAAGGGATCGCCAAGCAAAGGACCAACAGATCTTCGCAGATTAAGCAAACCGGGGAAACACGGGGTATGGTGCGGGTTGAGTCAAGCAACCCGGTCCTATATGAACAAGTCAGTAACGAATTCTCCGAGTAAGGATGTATGAATTTCGGATATATATCTCAAGAGTCCAATATAAAATTGAATTTAAGATAAATGGATTTAAGAGGTTTCTTACAGCTCGGAGCCGTCGACCAACAGTGCAATCACAGCCTAGGGGTTGGATTTAGCATCGATATTCACATTCCGGGTGGTATTTGATGCCTTACCACCGAGACCGAAAGCCCCAGCGTCTTTCCCCAGTTCACACTTTCGTAGATAAGGTTGGCTATTAATACCACGGAAGTACCTAAGCCAAGAATTCGCGCGATCGCGCCCGCAACGGCCGCCGCTCTTGGCGCACGGGGCCTTGTCATGTCTCTCGAGGGCGAAGGAGAAAGACAAACAAGAAGAAAATTGACGAGCAAGAAAGACAGAGTAAGATGTTTTTGTAGTGTTACATGTCCCGTAAACTAAAAGAAACCCCCTAGCAAGACCTCATTAAGAGTCCCGTACGGGAGCTAGGGTTCGGGATCGTTGCATATTACCCGTCCATTCGGATGCAGAGGTCGTCTTGGCGGCTAGTTATCAGCACAGCGGTACGGTTCAGGCTTAACTGTTATAGTAAGAGTATTCGCGGCCTTCTTCGAGGGATTTCCATGCCGTTTAAACAATAGACTATCAGCTGCTAAATAGATTTTATATTGTTTTGTCAAGTATCTGGGTAGGTATTTATAACAGGCACTCATCTTAGAAACGCCATGAGCGTCTATGCTACGACAACAGTACGTACTTTCATGAGACACTGACCAGGCGGTACCTGATTCAATAATAGAAACCTTCCGAAGATACTAGGAGAGGTGATTTAACTGAAACCGAAGAGGTATAGAAGAGCCATCTCCGAGCAATGGGAAGGCGACTCCGTATTGCCCCGAGAAACATCATAACTTACATGATGGTAACCCTAAGCGTCAGCGATAACTTTACGGAAATAAATATCTGTAAAAAGGATGAATAGTCAATATTGAAAGTAAAGGTCTAACTTGACTGTCAGTCGATAGAACCAGGTACTTACATACATGTAGGTATCACTTGTATTTAAGAATGTTTCGTATTTTACATATGATATTCATAGCTTGTAATTAAGCAAGTATGATGTTAACCAACTTTGTTCAGTTACTTCACGTTAAGTACCTGCCGTTAGAAGCGGGGAGGGTCCTAACAAAGCTATCCACGTGTGGGGACTTATGGTCGGATTACCTTAGGTAAGCACGTGCTAAGAACCTAGGTACCTATGTACATAAGGCCCAAGGGTAGGTACTAGGCAGTAGCTACCAGGTACAATACAAGACGTGCACCTAACAATGATATCAGCGACAAATTATTAGAGACAATACCTAATCCTAATCAATCAACAACTTGCGCGTAACATACTTTCAATTCTATGCCGTAGCCTTACAAGAGCAACCCTCAAAGCGACTTAGATATCATACATCTAATATATCAAGCTCCGGTCAATTTAGATTTTATTGCATTCACTCATTCAGTGTCATTAATCGGAGCATGACATAGCATAGTATCCATTAAAGCCTTCTGCAGTCATCGCAGGTAGCTCACTCAAGATGGCATCTTCGCCAGACCAGACACCCTCCGATAAAGCAACGACCAGCGATACAACTGCGACAGCTCCTCATATTATCGACAGCCATGAACACACAAGTCACCACTCCTTCTCTGATCCTCCACCGAATACCCGTCGATGTTTCATCTGCCTCGTCGATGAGCCTGAGGCTACACTCCCCGCCGACTGGTCAACACCGTGCACATGCACACTAGAAGGACATCATGAATGTCTAATGGCTTGGATCACAGATCTGGAATCTCAGTCCAAGGATATTAAGTGTCCCATCTGCAAAGCGCCCATCATAGTTACTGAGCGATGGGACCTTGCCACATACATGGATAACTACCTGAATGTCACATATTCAAAGTGGTCTCCGCAGATCTTGTTCGGATTTCTTGCTTCGGGCGCGCTGGTGAGCAGTTCCATTTATGGTATCAAGGCTCTCGATTTGTTCGCGGGCCCTGAAGCTACGATGGACTTCTTGTACGGCACTGAGGACCCCGTTCTATTTGGTTTCATACGTCTCCCCGTTCGCGTAGCAGGTAGGAGTCGCATGCCGCCTATTAATTTAATAAACTTTGCAATATTACCATTCATCGCCCCAGGACTGGTACTCAACCGACTACGTTTACAGAGTGTTAGTTTATTTCCCACTTCAGTGATGGTAAGCAACTCTCACGTATCGCTATACATTGGTCTAGTTGCTAACATGATTTCGCTTGCGAAACTGATAGTATGCAACATTCGTAGCGCTCATCGACCACGCGGACGAGTATTTCACGTGGCCTCCATCCCCGCAACGAGCCTTAGCCATCTACCCTGCCCTCAGGACCTCCTACTTCCAACTCCACAGCACCGTCTCCAAAACCCTCGAGAAGAGATGGAAAGCACAAGCCAGGAAACTGATGGCCAGTGGGGCAGGCCAGCAGCCGGTTGCGATACCTACCAGCGACGAGCCAGCGATTAATGGCGACAACCTCCTCGACTTTGACATCGATATAGCGATAGGAGTTGCCGATGAAGAGGAGGCAATCGGCCATAGACAAGACAATCGTCGAAACGCGGTGATACGGGGTAGACCACTCGAAAACTTCTTGGCCGGGTCATTACTTTACCCAGGCATATGTTACGGAATGGGTGAGATATTGAGATTTGTGCTTCCGTCGCGATTTGTTTCACGGCCGGCACTTGGCTCTTGCACAGGTCTGCTTCAAGAGCGATGGGGACGAAGCCTCGTCGGTGGGTGCTTATTTGTCGTGCTGAAGGACGTATTCTTCCTATGGGTTAAGTACAGGAAGATAATGAATTGGCCATCGAGAAAAATTAAGAATGCAGAGAATCGAAACCGACGTCGTTAGTGGATAGACATAATAGCGATACTTATTAGGGAAATAAGCCGGCGTTTTTAGGGAGGGTTCAAGTTATGTTAATGGGTTACGGCATTCGGTTATTGAGGCGTATGCGTATGCGTATGCGTACCTATGCATATGCGTAAGTTAGAGAGATGTAAGCTCTACGCATGGTGCAGGCTGCGTAATATTTGTATACGATACCAGGTAATTGCGTTTCATTGCGAGAAGACGTATGGGATACGGTCTACTCAAACTACCCATAATCTTACTCCAATTTCATTCTAAGAATCTTGGCTTACGTTTACTTATACCAGGTAACCAACGTAGGTCTAGGTATCCGCAAGGGCCAAGGTAAGGCTAGTTTAATATGATGTCGACCAGATCAACGATACTTAAACCCCTGGTAATAATCTGGCCAAGTACTTACAGGATTATTAGGTCACACTTTACTGCAATGAATAGCTGCGATAGTTTACAATCGAATATAATTTTCTTAGATGATCAAATTGCCAATTACCAAGCATCTTAATAGTTAATAGCAACGTGTTATCAGCGTATATCCACGCTTGGTAAGGGTTATGTTAGCATCATGCGGCACAGAAGGAATAGCTCCATTATAGAACATGTAAATCGCATTTACTAGCACCTAACATCTGACCGAATCAAGCTATGTTGGCCTGTTGGCGGACGGCTTATTTTTATAAGTCCCCAACTCAGCCATCTGTCTATTTTCTTAAACAGTAACCAGCAACAAGTTAACTCCCAACTCAGGCCTAACGACTTATCATATACCACAAAATACCAGTTCGTCTGCTCTGGCCTTTCACCAATTCCCCAGCACAGTAAAGGACGTTAAATTTTGAACATGTCTTCTTCGAGACGGACTCGCAGGACGGACCAAGATACCTTCACGCGCGCGGGTCCGGAAGCCGTCACTTACGACCTCTCGGTGCGCGACCAGGCCACGATCCGGGTCCCGGTCGGCTCCGCGTGGACATCCGGGCCCCACTGGCACGACTCGCACACGGAGTTCCTGCAGGTGCTAGCCGGCCGTGCGCGCGTCATGCTGTCCGGTCGGATATTCTGCGCGAGGCCTGCCGACGGCGTGGTCACGGTGCCGCGGGGCGCGGTGCACGAGTGGCGCCGCGCGGAGGAAGAGACGGCGGGGGCAGATGCGGAGGAGCTGGTGGTGAGGGAATGGACGGAGCCGAGGGACGGCGCGAAGGAGATGTTCTTTCGGAACTTGAACGGGATTATCCTGGATGCGGCGGGGGGCGGCGACGCGCTAGTGACGCTTGAGCTGTGGAACTTGTTCTGGAGGGCGGATAATTACCCGGTTACGGCGGTGGGCGCGGGGTGGGTTGGTGGTGTGGCTACTAGGGCCGCGATGGGTGTTGCGGTTGTGGTGGGGTGGGTGTTGGGACGGCGGGGGGTGTATGAGGAGTATGGCTCCAAGTGATTATGTATTGCGGGTGTGAGGGCTGCTGGGTATGGGTTTGTTGTTATTGGGATACGAGGCGTGTGGCGTGCTTTTGAGAGTGTGAATCAAGATTTAATGTTCTTTGCCTGGTAGTGATGCCATGTGCAGTGTATCTAGCCTATTTCTTCGCTCGCCGTGTAGGCTTGTCATTTTCATCGATACTCTGACTCTCCTGCCTCTCCGTCTTCCATCCTCCAGTCTGTGGGTCATATTCAAGGAGATACAGTATTTCTGCACCAGCTTCACCAGTATACTCGTATCTGATCCCTAGGTTTGGCTCGCCATAGTTCCCCATAAACTCCAACTCCAATTCCAGTTCCGTTCCTATATCTAAGTCGCTGCGAAAACTGATAGTGAAGGGCTCTATACAAGCTGCCCGTCTACAATACTGTTCAAGTTTTACGGAGCGGAGGAAACTCATAGGTGTTCCGTCGACATCGACACCACATATCTTCAGCTGATGCCGGTTTCCGCCTGTCGTCTCCATCTGTACAATCAGGCGGCGGCGGAGAATGAACTGCGGGATAGGAATGTCGAGTTTGGCCATAACCCGAGTCATCAGCTTATCCGCCTTTGAGTAAATACGCTGGTCCGCGAGACCATCCAGTGGCGTGTCTTGCAGATTGCAGATGGCAAGTTTCGCAGTTTTCCTCGCACCAACTGTTTCCGGGATTCCACTCGCTGGGGGCACCGTGAGAGAAGAACCCAGAACGAGGCAGAGGTCTGCCTTCTTGGCGTGGCTGCGAGCAAGCCTTAAGGGCTCGGCGGGGAGATACTCACCGAAGTTGACGATGCTGTCTAGTAGAGCTCCGCCGCAACGCGCACATTTCCGCCCCGTGCGGTGGTCGTAGACTGTCTTTTCATACGAAGCGACAGCCCGGAAGTCTAGTAATTGTTAGTGGAGAATCGCAATGGCATTTTAGGAGGATAAAGTACCGCGAATATATTCCTTCCCGCAGTCCTTACAGTACTCGCGATTGTTATTGCCATGTAGCTCAGATATCTTATCCTAAATCAAGATTACCATAAATACGACCCCACTCATCTATCAAGGCAGACATGTTATAAACTCACTGGTAGGATTCCACTCTTCCGGTGTAAGGCATCGCAGTTCTGGCTAACCAGATACTTCAATATCCCTCTATTCTGCAGCTCAACAAGAGCCATGTGCGTAGCAGTTGGTACAGCTTGGAGGGTGTTCACCGCACTCGGCCGCTGTCTTCCCTGAGCCATGAGCGTCCAGACGCCTTGGGTACCGCGGAAGTCGGGAATACCTAGTATCTACGTAAGATTTAGACCGGACGACGACCGCATAGTAAGGCGGTGAAACTAACCGGCTGAAGTAGAGATCCCGGCTCCGGTGAACACGATGAAGTGCTTGCTCTTCTTTATCTGCTCCGCGAGAGCCTCTGCCTTCCTATCGACTATATCGATATCTTCTTGGCGCTCCTCCGCGGGGACTTCGGGAGCAGTATCGGCCATGGCTATATTTCGTGGAATTCAAGAATGAGTGAAGTTAAGAAAGAAAGAAAGAAAGAATACCAAAGTTAATAGTTTGTTTTGTGTAAGTATCCTCAAGCATCAGCTTGTCCCAGATATGGTACTTAAATTATCTTCAAGAAATATGATTGGCTAAATAATCTTATAGCCTTCCCATAATAGTCTTACTTTATAACATGATTGGATATTAGATCAACTGTGAGGTAGCTTGTTGGGTAATCCTAGGCAGATCTAGGCAACGGCGCTCGAATACAGTTAGTCTAACCTTGGGTACCTAGTTATTATGGCCTGGAAAACCCCCTCCAATTAGTCTGTTTCTACGCTAGAGGAACAAGTCTCAATAACTTGCCTTAACTACATAGGTAGTATATAAGAATGAAAGCAAGGTGCAGTACTGTTAATTGTTGACTGTATATAATATTATCGACGGTATTTTCTTATTTCGTTTAGTTGCTTTCACTAAATTTTATAACTTAGATATATAATTGGACGTCTTGTAATTGGTTATTAGAGTTTCTTCCAGTTTGCTTATTAAATAGGTACCTATATATAGCTAGCTATATATATCTTGTGTTGAAAGTGTCCAGTCAGGTATATAAGTATCTTATATTAATGTTAAAAGTGAATCTTCCCGCAACTTAGTTGGTCTTGCTTTTGGTTTTCTACTAACCCGGCAATGGTCGTTTTATGTGGTACTATTATATATATATGTCCTTCCCCTTCATATATTTTCTTGTCCTTCTATTTTCTCTCCCTTATGGAATAGGCAAGATGAACCTTCTCCGTTTAGTAACTGCCAACGTAAAGGATATGAGCAAGGAGAGAACACCAACTTAATAGAATTGCAAAGAACTACGATCCTAACTATGACCGGTTCACTGATAGGATTGCAAGCCTCCCTTTTAGGCATTAGTTATCTAGTGATCTCGTAGCTAAGATATGGTTGAGGAATGTCGACCCTCCTATAGAAAGATTTAAATCACAGAATTCTTGTCTATTTGATTCTAAGTCTTCGGGCGAGGAATTAATACCGCCTGTCAGCTACTGTATTGGTCATTTCGATCATCTGATATACACCAATTTCTCTAATTTACCCTTTATAACTTGCCATAGAAGACACAGTAGCGAGGCTAGGATAATACGCAGGAATTAAACTACGACAACGTAAGTAATGCAAGTCGTAGGCGCGTGACCTCAATGCAGTAAGAGTGCACGCGCGTAAGATGCGTAAACATATTGCCTAAATTAAATAAGATGTTAATCTTATTCTGCAGATCTGATGATGTCTGCTGATGAGTTACCTTATACAGGATGGTAGTGGATGTAAATACTACCTACGGATTCAACCAAAATGGATAGCGGTGTGAAAGCTGCTGTCCTGCTTGATAGGTCTGTCGATTGCTGGCCAAAACCGGTACCGAAGTTGAAGTGGTAGACACCCAGCCACAGCTTGTCATTACATAAGATGACAAGTCTCGTGCCAACATCTGCATGCCGGCGTTTATGTAGGCAGTAAGACGAGTAATCAACGCGTTACTGATAAAGCATTGCTCAGCAGAGCCGCGAATTTAGACGGCCGTGCATGAATCCTGAGTCAGCGGATTAGGTGAGATAGAGTATAACAGCTTTTTATAGTCTTTAAACTCTAATAGTTGTAGTTGAAGACAGCGATGATCTCAACGATGATCTTCAGTTAGCGTCGAGGCTGGGATCTTACCAGTCAATACATATGATTATCAACTAGCGGACCAAACTCGGCTAGACGGCGGTAAATGGTAAATGTCAAGCTTTTGAGATAAGAGGTAGTGATGGGAACCTGCAGTATGATATATCACATCTCCATCGTATCTTAAAACCGGATATTACTGCATCTATGTACATATGCAGATATAACTACCGAGATGATTGGATCGGGCAACCGGTGGGCTTTCTCTTAGTGGCATCTCCGAGGAGGGACGGGTAGATGGGGCCACGGGCGGATCGATGATCGGTTGATATTCATGATGAGACAATCGTGCGCGGACGGAACCAATGTGGATTCATAATGAGATGTACATTCAGCCTGTGTACATTATCTAGGTAGGTATGTAAGTTGGTAGGCATTTATTAACTAAACTGGCGCATAATAATAGAATTATAGGTTAACTACGCGTAATGCATCTATGACTACCTCTATGTAAGGTAAGATGCTTAGGTGTATGTATGTATGTATGTATATATGTATGTAGTAAACACTTTATGATGTCGGAGGTATGTACGTTATTATCCCCATCGGAAGTAAGCGATGATTATGTCCTTGAGTTCCGTGTCTTATCTACCTATGTACCTAGGTACATAGGTAGAAGTTTGATACGGGCAAAGTGCGGGCAGTACGAGGGTTTGATTGCCGGTTACAGCATATACCTAGGTATACTTACCGTGCTGCCGTGCTGCCGTGCTGCCGTGCTGTTTCTAGCAGGCTTTAAGGTCACCGCTATACTGTATTTGTATCACTTACCAAGGTTCACCTACATTTTTAGTAGGTACCTACACATGGTACCGGTACCGACGTAACCTCCTAAAAATTATACGGCAGCAAGCAGCTACTCCCCACATATCTCTCCCGAACCCCTGGCTCTTTCACCACTAGCAATTAGATCCGTCCGGTCGGGTCGCAAATCATTTTTACAGTTTACACCTACGTACCTTAGGTAAGTACCAGTTAAGTTTATTCCTCGCCCATTTCCTTTTCTTCCACCAACAGTTTCCAGTACCAAATGCCGCAACTTAATCAATAACACATATATTACCCTTTTCCGGCGTCGTGGAAACACCAATCTATCTGTTTTCCGTTGTCTTACTCCCGACACGTGTTCTGGGAACATCGGCACAACCTTGCGAGAGCACAAACGCTGCGAGACATTTGTGGCCAACCTTTTACAAATACACTAAACCTGACCGCTGTGAACAAAAGCGCGGCAAAATCACAACGGTCCAGTGAGGTCGTGTTACGTTCGAGCTACATTCCCGAACAAGACTGTGGTGCTAATAAGACCATCCAGTTTCCGATACATAGTCCTTGACTCACTCATCCACTCACTTGCTCACCGAGGAGACAAGTCAAGGAGTTGGGGGCCGTCTCGGTCAGTCCTTGCGCAATACCTACCAGCATAGGCAATCGGAATTTCCACCAAATTCAATTGTCAGCATTGGACGTTGTCTCGATAGGAATACGAACACGGCCCGTGATCGTTCGCCATTATTAATCCCTGTCCTCTGCTCTTCCCTGTCTCTCGCGCTTCCATGTTAGCTGCAAATTTTTTCTCTCTTCCTCTCTTTTTCTCTCTTCATAGTGACGAGAGTTCCGATTAAGTTGACGTGTCACCGCGCGACAAGTTCCTGCAACTGGCCATGTGGACTCATCAAACTGCTTGTTTTGTTTAACGGTTGTAGGAGGACCACAGAGGATATTTGTCCCACAAAGAACGCTGGCAATCTTTCCAAGTGGACGATTCGGCCTTGGGATTAAGTCACGCGTCCCCTGTTCCCCTGCCCAGTGCCAATCCCAACTACTGACTTGAGAAGCCGGCAGACTAACCAGTGGCGTCAAATGGCTCGCCTTAGCGCGATCCACGTTGCCCGTGTATGCTGGATTGCTGGGTCGAATGAAATGAAATAAAAAGACACCAGAATCAGCCCCAAACAATACTCTTGGCTCGCGAATAGGGCATTCCGCACATGTCTTGGGTCTAACTTACACGGTGGTAACTGTTCAGCTGCGTCCATATCTCTGTTGAGTTGTCGAGTTTGCATCAAAGACCTCCCTCGTCTTTCGTAATAGTTTGCTCTCAATTTATATGGACTTCTTCTTATGGGATACATTTTCAGCTTGTACATGTGCGTTGCACACCGCTGCGGCTACGGAAACGGACGTCGTGCTGTGATACTTATGGCGGCTTGGCAAAACATATTTTTGAACCTTGAGATGGCATGGACTCCTTGTCCCATGCGGCTCAATGCTGGTCGATGCCGGTCGATGTTATGTTTCCCCCTTCCACCCCATGTTCTTATCTAGTGCCGCGATGTCCGGTTATTTTAGCCGGGTGTCCCGAGACGAGCTTAGTGTCGCTTCTAGACTTTATTTCGCCTTGTTTTGGAACCGCGTGATATGAGTGTTGCAGACCTGGAAATTAGACGGTGCAGATCTCATGGAACGAGTATCGGTGCTGGACCCCTTAGAAGCTTAATATGCTAGCATTTGTCTAGTCTTTGTTTCGTTCCACATTAAGTCATGTGTCTCGCTTCGTCTAAACGTTCTTCCTTCGTTCTGCTGGTGCTTAAGTCGACGTCTACTGATACGCAAGGCATAACTGGGCAGAGAGTCGTGAACCTAGGCCTTTGCTGGTCTTACCCTGTCAGCCAACCTCCGACTCGGTTTTTACAGTCCTCTTCACTAACTTTGGTCCTGTTATTTCCGGTCTAGGTCTGACCTCATCTACCGTTTATCCGCGGTTCTTGCAGTTTACACAGTTACAGTAAACTGCAGTTCAGGTGTGCGTCACCCGTAGGGCTGAACCCGGCATTCGACTTACTCTTTCACGTGGCTGCTACGCTTTACAAAGTTAATTATAACTCTTGTTGGTAGTATACAGGCCAGACGTTGGTCAAGGCTCAGATATCGCCGCAGATCGTCCTTCCCTGGTTAGACGGTTGGTTCATGCCGGACTTTTATGAACTACTGGACCAACAACAGGCTACCACTCGGGATTTAAGCCTCATCGACTTGCATAGGTACATAGGAGCACTGCTCTGTTGGTGTTACTAGGGACGACTTGACTATTCGAGGGATTATGACCTGGCTAAGTAAGTTTCTGCGTTATGTCGAATGTTTGTGATTCTTTTTTTTCCTATAACACCCTCCGGCATAAGAACCGCGATCAGACGAGATGTCTTGGCTGCAAAGGCGGCTCCCTCCTAATCCACGATCCACCTACCTCGCTACATGCATTAGGTATCGACCACTCCATCACAAAAGATTCGAGCAATGACCTATGGTTATGATGCTATCCCTTTTCATCTAATCTATAACCCTCCATTCACAATATCCCCTGCCCCCCCTTCCCCCCTCCCCCCGTTGTGGGTTTCTAACTCTAAAAGCTTGTATAAGGTAATCGTCATTCACATACATAC